GGTGTACTGCTGCAAATGGTGAGTATCCCGCTGTGCCCTAATCACTCTACTGAATGTTCCATGCAGCACGCTATGTTTGAGGTGTCTCCGAAGCTGTGGCAACGTTGATGGCGTGGGCCGTGTCTGCAGGCATGCTGCTCGTCTCTGATTCCCAGACATGTTCGACGCCTTCACACAGGGTTCTGGCAGTGTCTTTCTGCGGAAGTAGGTCAAGGTCAGGCGGTCGTCCGTGCAGCCGCGAAGATCGAGCTTACCTGGTGTTCCACAGGATGTCTTTGGCATCGAAAAGAGCTCACCACACTGTTGGAAAGTGTCGAGGCGGGGTGGGAATTCGACTCCATTCTGGGACGGATGCAAAGACGTGTGTGGGGCCATATGGCGGCTGCGGCGAGTGCGGAACTTGAGCAAGTTCTGCCACAAATGGTCAGTCCTGAATACTCGTGTGCCCTAAACAAGCTACTCACTGTCTCAAGGCCGTGTGCCGAGTCTCAATTCGGCGACACTCTCGTGTGGAAAAGGAGAGCAATTTGTCAAATGTTGGCTCTTCGGTACCACACCGTGTTTGCGTTGTCAAGTGGCAGTGCAAGGCGAAGCGATCCGCGGACATCTGTGTGCCATCGGTAAGCTTCAGTGGCATACGCGAGCGCATACACGCACTTACCCGTCGCAGCCTGCAGTTCGCACATGCCGGGGACGTTGTATTCGCAAAAGGCCCGCTGCAGAAGACAGCTGGGGCAGAGACAAGGGGCGGTGGGAGAGCAAGGCGGGCGCTGCGAGCGGAGGGCAAGAGCAAGGAGCGCGCGAGATGGCCGGATGCTGCGAGCAAGGGCCCTGACAAACTCTAAATTGGCGAGGAGAGGCTGGAGAAACGAGCGGGCGAGCAAAAAGAGGCGCTGAGTGAGAAGGCGATTGGCGTGGAATGGTCCTGGAATCCCGCCCAGAGGCATGGATTTGCAAAGAAACATGGTGCGCGGACTAGGTGTTGAGCGTACGGGTCCCATGTTTGCGTGATTAGGTAGTCATCGTGGAGCCTCATACTTCTGTTGTGTTTGAGCTGTGAGGGCAGATTTAGTGTTGCGCGGCGAGGAGAATGGCGGTTCTGCCACCCAAAATGTGGGCGCTAAGGTCCTCGAACGTCCCCTCTGAGCCCTCCGCACCCTCTAAGATGATACTACTCGTCCAGAGACTTGAAGAAATCTCTGGACGGCGGCAGACGTCGTGTGCGATCTCGTCCCCCATGTATCTGTGTCTCTGCACGAACACGGAGCGGCATGGCAGACAAAGCAGGCGGGAGGCGCAGAAAACCAAGAGAGGTCGCAAAAGGACTGCAAACTCGCAAAAGGACTGCAAACTCACGGTCGGACGGGTGTGGAGCGAAAAGAAGCACCGCAAGTCGAGAGAGAGAGCACGTCGAGAGCTGGGCTATGCAGATGTTCATGCGGGCGACGTCGCAGCTTGTAGCTCTCGTAGACACCGTTGTAGTCGTCATAGGGCTTCGTAGAAATGATACATCTTGTTCCTGAAGGAACCCGGCATGCATTAGCAGCTGTACACATGAACGAGCAGGGGATGACCATGTGCGCAGGTCGCCTGAGAAAATAATGTGCTCAGTGCAGTTTGCAAACGTCCAAGATGAAAACACACGTGCCACATGCGCCGAGGGTGCACTTTGTACGATGTACGGAGCCGGTGGGCGGGGCTTACGCTAGATGGGGCGACAAAGTGGATGTGCAGGCGCTGCACATGAAAACCGCCGGAGATGGGCCAATTTTGATTGTCTTCATTTGCGCTGCCACGTGCTGGGTGTATGCTCCGCGGTCCATCGGAGCCATACGTCACATTCGCAAATGCCCAAGACGTGTCGTTGGAGCGCGAGGTCGCCTCTGCGGCGTGTGCCATGGTTCAGAGTGTGCGGCGGGGATTTAATCGCACAGGCTCAGCGTTGCCGCAAATGGTCGAGCCACTCCGGGGCATGCGTTGTGCGAACGCTGGGGAGGTGCACGGCATTGCGGCGTGCTGAAGACGCGTTTCTGCGTGCGGACACCTTGTAATCGCGCATTTGTCAGAGCAGTTCACGACGGCGCGAGCTGGAAACGTACATACCGTGAGCGATGGACGATGCGCACCTCGCTGTGCGGTTGCGGGGTGTTCTGGCGTGTGCAACGCAGTCTGGAGGGGGGAGGCGGTCGGTGGGGTGATCCGCGTCATGGGAGAGGCATGGCACGTGCAGAACGGGTGGGACACGTTCGCACATCTGCAGGGTGCGTCACTAGAGCCCTATCAGCGCCCTCCGAGCGATTCAGAGAGGGACATGGCGGTGCGCGTGCGGGGAGGAGCACACTTGAGCGGTGTGCGCCTGGTGCGAGTATTTGGCACATTGTGAGAGTGATTCGCGTCGGGACGCACTGGCAGCTCACCTGGGGAGACAGCAGAGTCCCAATGATGTTCTCTGATAGCCGCCGTGCACGCCAGATCATGTTCGCAGACGCGGGCACGCGACTGCCGCAGAAGTGTATATTGAGCGCCGCATGCGAAGGAGTCGTGCCCCGTCTTTGTTCCCGTGTAGGTGACGGCGCCCAATAGTGGATAGTATCGGCTACGAGAGCTGGGCGTGCACCGCGAGTCTTCCCAGAGAGGCGGTGGAAAAAGCTAAATGAGCGAACTTGCCGCTGGTGGACCCGTTCACGCGGGGGATGGGCGGTGGGGCAAGCGCGCGAGAATGTCTGAAAATCTGTCTATCAGGTTGCTATGTGCAGGACGGAGGGCGTGCGGGAACAGAGAAGAACGGGAGGGAGCATGGCGGGACACAGGCAGGCCAGATCGCGCAGGTGTGCCACCGCGAAGGAGACCGTAGGCGCGTCCCGCCGTGCCTCTGCCTGTAAGTAGTAAGTACTCGTATCGACGGCTGGATACACCGCGTGCTTACCCTCTCAATGTCCTGCTCGACCCCTTCCGTCGTGGCTGTCTTCTCCTCGCTGCCGGCTGCGCACGCGTCTTCGGCTGCGCCTGCTTCTGGGACACAGCTCGGGCCCCGCTGTCGTCGTCTTCGCAAACGGCCACGCCCAGGAGGGTGAGAGAGGTGGGTCGAGCTCGGCTGCGTGTCCGTGGGTAAGTGCGTGTCCCACCCTCTCGACATCTCGCCGCGTGTGCTTACCTCGGGTGGTGTTCCGCCCGACGATGGTAGAGACCCCTCCGTCGCGCTCTGCGGCTGCGACCGTGCTTGTCTCAGCTCCGTTTCCGACTCGCTGGCGTCCTGGGCTGCTGTACGCGCGTCTCGGTGGTCCGCCTGTGCTTTTCTGGGACACCGTCTGGGCCTCCTCAATGTCTTCCTCGACACTGCTTCTTGTGCTTGACACGTTGATCTTGTGCTTCTGGTGGCTCGTTACTGCTCTAGGACTCGAACATCAGCTCACTGCTCCACTCTGTGCCTGGCTGGGACTCACCTGGGCAACTCAACAACAACGCCTCCGACACGCCCGTCCCCCGACGCCATCGAGAACAGCCGCTTGCACTCCCGCACACAACACGGGCCGCGTCGGTGCACTCGGGCATCCGTGTCGAGTTGGGAGCCCCGTCTCCGCACTGCCCCAGAACACCCCCGGCCGCGTACGCGCTCTCCTGGCATCTGGGAGACGCAGGGTGAGCGCTCTCACCTGCCGCACACTCGTCTGCGGAAGCAGCTGCTGGCTGGGCGATCCGGGTGGTGCATCGCATCGACGAGGGATGCGGGGGCGCAGACGAGGAAGTGTGTGACGTGGCATGTGGAGGAGGAAGGGACAACGACGAGGAGGGAACAAAATCGGGATATGGCGGCAGGTAAGGCGGGCACGACACAACGGCATTGGCGTACTTACGTGTGGAGAGCGATGCGGACCGCAGCCCCACGCGGATCGCCGTCTTTGCACACCGGGAAGCCCCCAAACATGTCCGTCTTCTGTGCATCGTTTTCTGGCGGCTGGGGGACTGACGGTGAGCTCGCTTGCTCGCTGCATGCTCGTCTGGGGAACGGGCTGACCTGGCTGACTGCTGGCAAAGCATTTTGTGTCACAGATCCGTGTAGACGATCTCCACACAGCTGCCCGTCGAGCGGGGTACGTACTCACCTCGTCCCCGATGTACCGATACAGCCGCTGATGAGTTCTTCCAGGACCCAACGGCAGCTTCTACGACGCAACGTGGCTCAATTGGCTGGTCCTGACGGCGCGCCGGCTGAGATCGAGTCGACGACCCGATGAGTACCTCGCCATCTCGTATGATGCGAACCTGCTGACTGACCTCGTTACAGTCTCGAAAGACGGCGGCGTGGAGCCTTGATGGGCCGGATGGGATGTGCAGGAGGGGTACTATAGCACATGTATCGTAGAATAGCCGTAGACGTGGGGCTGGGCGTGCGGTACCGCCTCAGACAGAGGACCTCGCGACATGGCCCCATCCTGCATGCCACGACTCTCCCCGCGTCGGCTGGTTCCGGTCACGTTGAAGCCCGCCGCGCACTCCTGCAAGGCAAGTGGTCAGCTACATCGCGGCGAAATGAACCAGCTCACATACCTCATCTGCAGCCTATCGCTGCGGCATCGCAGCCGGGAGCCCGCCGCCTCGACCGCGGGTGGCCTCCACGGTGTCGTACTCACAGCCGACCTCTAGAGCGGCGAGGATCGCGCTGTGCCCATCCTCAGTGTCCTGCGCACTCGCATGCGGCCTGCCTATGCACTCGGCCGGCGACGCCGCGTCCTACAGCCCTGACGACGATCTGGTAAGTTCTTTAGCATCCCTGCAGCCAAAAGAGAACTTACCCATGTGAACCGCGACCGTCTTGGCGATCTCCGTGCGCGTTGAGGCCATCCGAGCATGGGGAGGCGAGCTAGGGCCACCAAGACATATCCGGTGAGTGAGTGCACAAATCTATGACCGAAACTTGCTTACCCACCTAATTCGAGGTCGCTCAGTTGATCCCCGAGGGAATTGGAGCCTTCGGAGTGCAGGGAGGCCGAGTGCCAGGTATGCGGGCGCTTACTCCGCTATCCGGTCGCCGGTGAGTGGGTGCACAAACCACTGGAGGTAGCAGGTGCACTGACCTAAATCTAGGTCGCCCAGTCGATATCCAGACGAGTTGGAGCCACCCGGGGGCTTCCAGGCCGGCTGGCAGGTCCTCCAGCACATGGACATCGCAGAGGTAAGCCAAAAGATGCATTCCCATGGAGAATCTCACTGACATACCTAATATCGGGTCGTCCAGGCGATATCTACTCGATTTGGGGCGCTCTGAGCGCAGGAAGGGCAACCGCCGGGTGGGAGGGTGCCTGGACGTCGAGCAGGTGAGTCAGAGCTTCGCCCTTCGTAGATAACACGGTCAACGTACCTCGTATCAGGTCTGCAGGACGATTGGCGGTGAAATTCCGGCGGTAGGGGTGGATAGAGGCCGGCTGGGACATGCAGGACTCAGGAGGCATGTAAGCGATCAGGCGCCCGTGCGACGGTGCTGCCTCGCGATCCCGCGCGCGACGCGCCCTGTAGACGTCGTAGAACGTCGTAGTAGTCGTGCTCATCCCATATGGCTTCGTTTGAACGAGATTGGCGTGTCCCGGGGCCGGCAGAGGCCGTGGGGAGCTCAACAGGGTGTCTTGACAAATCCCGAGCACAGGACGCAGCCCGAGGGCCCGAGGAACGAGTCAAGATATGTCTAGACACAACTGGTGGGTGCTTGGGGGGGTCGCAAGGCGTCTAGAGCGCAGTTGAGAGGATGGGAGAGCAGCACCAGAGTGAGGGCGCCCAGCAAGTTGCATCCCCGGGGATGCGGCCTAGCATCCCATCGTCGCTCCTGCAAAGTCCAGACGTGTTTATACACGACTTGTGGGTGCTTGGGGTGGTCGCCAGACGTCCAAAGTGTTGTCAAGAGGGCGGGAGAGCAGAACCAGAGGGCAGCAGTGTGAGGTCAACAAGCAGGTTGCAGCCCGGGTCCTGTACCCTAGTATTCACTCGACGAGTTCTCCTGAGCTCTTCTTCGATGTCCCCGGTGTCGATTCGCAGTGTTGAAGGTGCCAAAGGCGTCGGAGAACGTCAACAGCAGTCGAGCCCCAAGTCACTTCAAGTTTCAAGAAACTACTGCTGTAGCTTACAGTCCTAAAGCCCCAGTCTCCAGCACAGATGAGCGTGCCACAGCAAGTCGGGACCAAGACGAGCGCACCAAAGTACAACAAAACGAATGGGCAGACATCAAGGAGCAGAGGCAGACCGAGTGTCGAGTGTTCAGAACACAATGCAAGACGAACGAGTCCAAGAGGGAAAGCGAGAGGAGACAGAGCGACAGCAGATGAGATGAGAGAGTGTGTCGAAGAGAGCAGCCGTCGTCTTGGTGGTGGAAAGAGAGAGCAAGTGAGCAGAGCCCGAGAAGAACGGAGAAAGTCAGATGACGCACCGCGCGTCACACGTGACTCTGCGCACGGGATAGCCTGTTTTTTCGCGCGCTCTGCAGCTCGAGTGTCAGACGTGCTCTGGCTCAGTGGCTGTCTCGCGCTGCTCTCCTGCCCTCGCGCCTGCCCGCGCCTGCCATCCTCACAGCCATCGCCGCCATCTACACCCCGCCTCGGGGTCAGGGGCCGACGACTCGTCGCTCAAACAGGCGTATTTCGAGGTGTGCGGACCGCTTGCAGATCGTGCGCATCCGGGCGTGTTTGCGCCGTCTCAACTGGCAAGTATTTGTGTGTACATCACACTGTACTCGTTCCGGGCGGCGGGGATAGAGTGGTCCGCGTCGTAGGCTTGAAGCGCCTCGTGCTGCACACAGGCCTCGGGATATACCAGGTTTCTCCCGGACTCACTGGTGGCGGTACCGGACTGGTAAGTGGCTCGCTCTATCGATGTCGCGAAGTCCATGAGCTCACTCGCATTTTCTAGACATCAAGTCCGCGCCCGTGCGCTCGCGTGACGTGCGGATGCTCGCGGGATGTCTCCCATATGCACCCAAGGAGCAAGTCCACGCTCGTGCGCGGTACGGGTCTTCGCGGGACGGCGGCGATACGGAGTGCGTGCACTCCATCCCCGAGGCGCATGTGCACACAACCGGAACGCGCATGCATCACGCGTCCCAGGCAGCGCGACGTGGACCACCGTGCACACGAAGTAAGGGCGGTACGTACCATAATTTCTTTCTACTTCAGCTTCCTGGCCCTGGCTGACTTGCACGGGGAAGCAGATAGCCGGCCCGATAACGGAGAGCGGACACAAGGTCCGGAGCATCGAGGAAGCTCAGAGCGAGGACAAGCAAGAGTGGCGGACGATGCGTTAAAGGGCGCGGCCGGTTGCGCCGCTTTTGTGGTCGAACTTGGAGGCAAAGCAGCGGCGAGCGAGGGACTGCACTCATTCGCACTCTGTCTGAATAGGTGCCCATGCTCGGATGCGCGCGCCGAGCGTCCCGGCGTCTCCCCGACCATGTTGTTTCTGTCCGCGCGGACACTCTCTACACATGGTACGCCATCCGTGCGGCGCGCACAACTCGCTCTGGCCAGCATCGACGGGAGTTTAGATGAAGCACACGGCGTTTTTGACGTAGGTATGTCTCCCGGACTCACACAGGTGAGAGACTCACCTCCGTGAGCTGAATGCCTACTTACGATCTTTCTTTGTCCCAGCTGCTATTATGGTGCGCCTCACTGCGCCCTTCGCGCGAGACACTCCCGGATCCGTACTCGACGCGCATAGCATGCAAATGGCGAGCTTCCAGAGCAACACAAAGGTGAGAGTCTTACCTGTACGAAAGCCAGACACCTGTCAGCTCACTGCACGAAGCCCACGGTACGATCGCATCGGCGGGTCCCCGGCGTCCTGGATAGCTTCGAAGCACTCGAGGGGAGTCCATTCAACTGTTTCTGCCGCTCGTGGACTCGTTGTGGAGTAGTCAATGAGCAGGCTCGATTTTGGCGGGCCCTATTAGTACTACCTCTGGAGCGCGGGCGCTGAGCTGTTATACGCGCTCGCGCCCCGGACACGCGACGATGACGCGAACGCGCAAATGATCCGCGCGGAAAGTGATGCGGTACGTACCATTTATTTGTTCTCCAGATTCCGGCAGCTGGCTGACTTGCACGGGTAGGTGGACAGCGGCGGAGGGCACACAGAACGAGTGGGGGAAGATGGCAGCCCCAGAGCGAGGGCTAGCAAGCAGGGCAGGCGTCGAAGGTCATGGTCGGAAACAAGAGTTGCGACGGGCGAGAAGGACTTTGCAATTTCGAGTTCTGTCGGAATAGGCGCCCTCGTGTGGCGGAACGCGCCGAGCGTTGTGGCGTCCACTCTGGCCATCCCACGACACCTTGGGACCTGCGCCCATGCTCACTCACGCGGGACGCGCCACAGAGGGCATCGCAGACACCATCACAGACCCTGGGCCATGTGCGTGGTCTCCGGGGTGCTCCGGAGAGCGCTGGATGCGACAAAGCCGGTGAGTTATTCACTTGTTTGCCATATACCTATAGCTAACTAGTTACAGAGAACGATCAAGAGTCCGGGGGCGCGGGAGGCTTCCCCTTGCCCGAAACTGGCGCACACTGACGGTTCTGGAATAACGAGGTGAGTCTCTCTTTTCCGAACTTTGGTACGAGCCGGCTAACGACACGGTACGCCCGCGCCAGAGGTCTCGAGCACACAGGACGTCTCCCCGGCGCTGAACCGCACGCCCGCGCACCTTTCCGCGGTCTCGCGCGTTCGTCGACCGCGCCCCGCGCAGACGAGCACGGCGAGCACCCTAGCGGACACGCAGCGAGCGCCATCAATCTCCCGCGCCCGCGCCACTCGCTCCCTGCACCACAGACCGCCCAGGCGCGCCGAAGACGCGGTACGTACTTGGTGTGCCCTCTCTCGCAGATCCTGACTGACTCCGAGCAGGCACAGCGCATATTCGGCGTCAGAGGGCGCGAACACGTCGGCTGGCAGACTTGCAGGGGTAGGCTGAGGGCGACGGAGGGCACAGAGGACGAGGGAGAGCAGCCGGCAGACCCAGAACGAGAACACACGAGCACGGCAGACGTCGACGGTCGCAGTCGCCCGCAGAGTCGCGGCGGGCGAGAAGGACTTTGCAGTTTCGAGTCGTGTTGATATAGGCGCCCGCTACCGGCATCTCCCAGACTCTGCGCCGAAGGCGATCGCGCGCGTCTGGGGGTCTCTGCGCGTTCGCATTCACGCGGGACCGTTCGGGGCAGACGTCGAGGGGTAGTCCATGTTGCGGAGGAGCTCCCGGGGCGGGACTTGGGGCATACTGGAGAGTGCAGATTCGGCAGTGGTAAGTTATCTATCTGTTCGCGCACCTGCAGCCAACTTACGAAATGTTCACAGCACAGTCACTACGCGAGCTTCAAGCCTCGCGGAGGCACATCCTTGAAGTAAAGCACCGGAAGCGTCCTCGACGCACTCCGCATCAGTCCGGAATGCTGTAAGTGAGGATTACATCTATCTGGACATCGGTACGGGCTGGATAACGCTGCGGTACGCTTGCGCAGGCACTCTCGAGCACACGGGATGTCTCGCCAGCGCGGAATCGCCCGCGCGCCCATCGTTGCGCCAACTCGCACTCATCGACCTGACTTGACCGCGTCGCGCGAAGACTCGAACACGGCGCGCACCCGTGCGGACGCGCAGCGAGCGCCCCAACCTCCCGCACTGGCGCAACTCATTTACGACGCCACAGACGCCCCACGCGCGCCGAAGACACGGTACGTACCGGCCGCTCTCTCTCACGCAGATTCCGGCTGACTCCGAGCAGACACAGCGCGCATTCGCCGTCTGAGGGCGCGAAAACGTCCCCAGAACTAGGTCGCATATGCGGCGTGGAACGATGTCCCTGTAGAGGCAGAGTGGCAGCGCGTCGAGCCTTTGCAGATTCGAGAGGTGCCGGATTAGGCGCCCGAGCGCGTCCGAGTGCGCGAAGTGCGCTGGACGGGTGGATTGTGGTCGTCCCCCGCGCGAAATGCGCCCGTGTACTGTCGATAGCCTATAATGTGATACTCTGCGTTTTCGAGACCTCCTGTGCGAGCTCCAGCCTGCGAGTGCGAGTCTCCCCTGCCCGCCAGTTCTCCGTTGCTCTCCCAAGCTCTCCCGTACCCTATGCTCCCCCACACGGCGCCTCCTAAGCCCCCACTGAACACGCAGCGCCTACTAGTGCTCACTGAACACGCAGAGTCCGTCGTTATTTCCCTAGCAGTCAAAGATCCTCCGCACTCCCCGAGATCCACCCGCCGCCGCCCTCGTCCAGTCCCGCCGGCTCGCCAGGTCCCGCACCGCCACCCCCGCCACGCACCGCCACCGCAAGCCGCGAACGCACACACAACGCACACAAGCAGAGGTCGAGCTCACACGAAATATATTTTCTCCCTACGTATGTACATCCACACCTGCCCGCCGTCCGCCCGCTGCCCGCTCGCCCGCCCGCGCCCGCGCCCGCGCCCGCACCCGCCTTGCCCGCGACCATTCGGCGTTGGTGGTCACCTTCGGGCATCTGTCGAGGGAAGCCGCGCGGGGACGCCGCAACACCGCGCACGGCGGAGCGTGATGGGCGAAGTGACTTTGATTGACATCAAACTCGCGAGACTCACGAGGAAGCCGAACACACCCTGTAGAGACGTTGTCAGCGCGGACGCGTCGCACGGGCGGTCTCAGGATACGTGCCGTAATGAGGGAGCCCATAACAAACATCGCGAGTGTGCTCATATGGCCCGCGGTGTTCTCGTTCGCGCCGAACAAGAGCTTCATGACCCCGGGAAGCTCGCCGACGAGGATGATGATGGGCGCCAGGACGACGGCGCTCATGAGGTTCGTGTACCAGGAGAGGTGCAGCGCACTGCCATGCACAACATCCAGGCTTTTCTTCATGACGACAGAGTGGAGGGCGGTGATCATCGAGCTTAGGACGCCGAATATGATGCCAACCAGAGAGACTTCAGTGCCATCCAGGAAGACACCGACGAAGAAGCCGATAGTGACTACGCCGCAGGCAAGGAGGATACGGAGTGACAGCCGGGCGTGCAACAGGAAGAACGAGGTGCCGACGGTGAAGGGGAGAACCATGCCGCGCGCAACTTGGTAGAACGGCACGTCGACATATTTCAGGGTATAGTTGCTGAAGCTACACGCGCGAAGATACGCGATTGGCAACGAGCGGTATGCAGTGGAGATAATACGCACCTGAGCCCGATAACGTTTAGGCCAACCATGGGTATCAAGCCCTTGCACACTTGCGTGTCAAGTTGGAGGGGTAGTTGGAGCATACCGGCCATATGCGCCAATAGGAAGAGAATGACCGCAATTACGAGCTGTGATAGGAGGAAGAACAGGGGAGTGTCCGTGATATTAAGGACCCATTTATTCCTGAAAGTTGTGTCAGTGCCATACGTCCGTTCGCAGTGACAGCGCACGCATATATGCTATTGCTCGACGTGAGCTATGTCGTCTTGTTCAGACGACGGCTCGGCTCATTTCGTCGCATGCGAACGCAGGATACGACAGGTGAGACACTCACACCATAACCATCTACTCCGTTCCCAGCAAGGTCGTCAGACAGAACGTTCCCCAGCGCATATGGAAACAACGTACCGCCAACGCAGCAACCAAGTAAAAAGACACTGTCCCGATCTATACCGACGAAGAAATTTAGCAAAACACGTGCCTGGACGCTACGACCATAGCAACTCACCACCAACGCCCTCGAGGGCGGGTGCTGGTGGGACGAAGGGGACGGCATGTTGCACTATGAAGCAGTAACACCCAGAAGAATGAGGTAGGAGGGAGGTTGGCGCAGTCGTTCTCGTCGTTGGAGAGGAGAAGTAGACTGCGCTGGCGAAGAGCAAGACAGGATTTTGCGCGGCTGATCGCGGTGTCGACTGCGTGCGGGGGAAGCGCCCGACCGCGCACTGTGACGTCACCGACAGCTGCTGCACTCACTCTCTCGCTCGCGATTCTAACGAACACCACTCACTCGGCCCCCCTGCCGCCCTCGCTCCAATGGCAAGAACGGATGCTCTTTCGAGCTTATCTCGACGGGAATCCGCCGTACTCCCCTCAAATTCTCGATGAATGGCATCCATCGCTAGGCGGTGCTGCCGGTGCGAGCACCAACGCGCCGCGCAACTCCTTTGCATACAGTCCGCCATCCACTGCAGGGATGTATCCGCTGTCCTTGCGTCGAGCGACGACATCTGTTGCGCGGGGTAGGTGTAGGAGGGGATCCATAGACATTTAATGCAGCTACTGGTGCGTTATCAGCCTTTTCCTGCACGAACTCCTCTCACAATGAATATATTACTGTCTCCACCAGTTCACGCCCCCGAGAACGCTTCACCCCGCCTGTGCCCCTCTTCGCCCCGCCCTCAAACTCCGGGGTACGTCGCAGAGTACCCCAATGACGACGCCTGCCGACGCGCGAAGACACCGCGCGTAAACTGCGCCCGCCACGCTCCTCACAACGCACGGACTTCCCTGCCAACCTCAACCGCCTCCCGGCCGCGTCGCATGCGCTGACACGTCCCGTAACCACACGTCGAGGCGTAGACCGACCGTATCTCGCCGTACGTACATTACCAGCGCGCACCGCCGCGTAATACTCTAGCAAACTTGCGATTACAGGGCACCCGCTTGCTGAAACTCGCGTGTACCGCGCCGTATGGCCCCGCCACTCCCCATATTCCACGTATCACACGCCCGGGATGCGCCCCATCGTCTGCGACGATGCCAGGCGTCTGCGCGCGCCGCGAAGGAGCATAGCGGGCTTGGTGCGAAGGGAGCCCGCCCCTCGTCCCGCAGCCGTCCCGCGGCCGTCCCGCTACGCACTGCGCTCCCTCTTTGGGGGCATCGCATTGATCACGCTCTGGGCTCTTGTGCGGTGCGTTTCCAGCCGCTACGCACGCGAATTACGCTCACGGCGCCGCATTTGCAGGCGCCCGTCCCCGCCAGACTCACAAATTCGTACTTCGCGCGTGAACGGCGAGGCTCTGGCCTCCATACTCACGATGGCGAGTGCTGCACACCAGGTTGCACACGTGCGTGGCGCGGCACGGTGGTCCGCGCAGAACGACGTCGGGTCGGGTTCGACCACTTTCATGCGCCGGCCCGCCTCCACGAAGCCAAGATTGCGCACACCTCCCCGCGTACCTCACACCCCGCCCCGCCGCTTTGCACATCGCACGACGCCCGCCCTCTGCACGCATGAGGTGCCTTCCCCGGCGGCACGCGTACGAACTGCGCCGACGATCTCACTTTCTCAGGTCGCCTGGGCCAGAATCGACAGCGCCAACGCCCTCGCGCGCGCACGCCGCCTCGTGGGCCTCTCACAACGCAACACCCGGGTCTATGCACCAGGACGGAAGCGCCCTGCGACTTACGGCCCGATCCGAGCACAAAATATTTCGGTCATTTCGACCGATTTCATGGGCCGATGGGCCCACGGTGCGACCGAATCGCCCGTCCCGCGCCCGTCCCGCGCCCAGCAGCCGTGCCGCCGCGCACGCACACTCTGCCGCACCTGGGACGCCGCCTCCGCCGCTCGCAGGCCGTCGTGCATCAGCGGACCCCTCCCTAAACCCAGGGCGGAACCCTGACCGAACCCAGGGCGGAACCCCCACTGAACCCAGGCGCGGACGATGTCGCGCACGCACGCCGCACCGCTAGGCTCCCCCAGTCGCACGGTGCGGTCTATGCCCTACGCCGCACACGCCCCCGCGATCCGTGGAGAAGGCGATCGCGTCGGCTCGACGCATTTCATGGGCCGGGGGTGGGGCGGACGGACGAGATCGCGTGTCCCGCGGCTGTCCTGCGCCCGGGGACCGCGATACTCGGCAGGCGCACTCTCTGGCACCCGCGGCGACGGCTCCGACGCTTACAGGCACGTACGAGGAGGTTTGTTTTGGCTCGTCGACGCGGCGCTTGGGCGCTTATGCCTCGGGAGGGCAATGGCGGCGTCGTTGCGCGCAGACACCGCGTCTATCGTCTTTGCGCGTGGAACGGAGCGCTGTAGGAACCGAGGGGCATGTACCACGCGAGTTTCGGCGCAATACGAGCAGAATAGACGTGCTTGTGTCACTTTTCACTGAACTTATCGATGTCAGCAGCACCATTTCGGCCGTTCCGCGTCCATGTCGCCCCCTACGGCCGCGAAAGTCGGTATGCGGACTCGCAGAAATGACCGCCGTGTTCTCTGCGACTTGCGAGGATGCACGACGGCTGTGCGGCGCGGCAGGACCGTACCACCCGTGCCCCGTGCCCCGCCCGCCCCCGGTGCCGTCCACTCCATGCCCCAACGGCCCACCCCAGGCGCCCCAAAACGCGACAGCGGGCCGTCCGCCCTACTCCGCGCACGCCCTCTACTCTGCGCCGCGATCTGCGCAAAGCGAAAAACCAGGCCGGCTCGCCCGCTCTCATGGGCCTGCCCACGGCCAAAATCACGAAAAACGCGCGTCGCACCCCCAATTCGCCCCCGGGACGCACGCCGCTTCTCAGGGGCACTCGTGGGCACCCCCGGCGCCGTCTCCGCTGCTTACGAAGGCGCGGTCTGCCCTTGCGACTCGGCGGCGGCGCTGAGTCGCCGGCACCTAATGGGGCCGACGTGGGTGATCTCGACTTCGTGCGTGGACGGTGCCGCGCAGGCTCGAGTGCACTGAACGGGGGACTCTTTGGATACGGACACGCATACCCGTGAGGCTGCGTCGCGATCCGAGTGATTGGGCTCGCCCGGGGCCATTATCTCATAGGCCCCGAGGCACGAATGTGCGCGTACCGCCCGGGTACTCCGTCCTGGCGCCGCGCCGCACTGTGAGCGCACTCGTGGACAACTCCTCTGCAATCAGCGTCACGGACGCGCGCTCGTGGGCGGAATTTTGAGCTGCAGGACGTCTCTGGGGCGGCGCCCGCAGATGGGCTCGGCAACGGCGCTCCCGCACCGAAATGGACGCGAACACGTACGCGGCGGGAGGACCAACGTACGTATACTCATCTGCTCGCGCGAGGCCCGCGAATCACGGGTTTCCCAGAAACCTTCGACCGCGTACGACGCCCATTGTGCCGCCTCGACCACCACCTCGCGCGCCACCCACCGTGCGCCACGCACAATGCGAATGAGCTCCCCGATGCGCCGCCACGGGAGTACACAGGCACCTACATCGTCCCAGGCCTCCGCCTGCACCTCAAGTGCATCTCTGTGCGCTCGCCTTGTCTCGGACGCTGGCGGCGGTCCTGGATGCTTGATACATCCATACGAGGCATGCTATAGCCAAGAAAGACGATAGGGAGGACTCACCTGGGCTGTAGGTAGTTAGAGCTGTGTAGTAGATTGCTTCCTGCGCGCATGATCCTGCTGTGTTGCGCGACGGTGATAGCGATGTTCGCATCGCGCAGCGTCCACGGAGAACGACGCGGGACTCCGGGTCGGTGGCAGGAGCGCGGGGCAGGTGCTGTGGGGAATATTGCAGCAGGGCAAGCGTTGGAGGAGGGCGACGAAGGGCTGGTGATAGCGAGGAAGGGCGGCATCGCCGTGGCGCAAACTCGGCGCCATGTTTCCTACCTGGGACAAACTTTAATTCGAGGTAAGCATGCGCGCATGGCATTCTTCCGTGCTTGAGACTTACTGTGGCATGTCTCCGTCGTAGTAGGGAGCAGGGCTGCCCAGGAGAGGGCTCGCGCGCAAATTCGAGTGTGCTGGCCAGCGGCCATCGTTGGAGGAGCACCAGTCGAGGAGGGCGGGCGCAGGTGACATGTACGGCGTCGCGGCAAGAATGCGGCGCGGCCGGAGCGCGAAATGTATGCCACAGCCCACGGGAGGCAGACTCTAATCGAGGTGAGTTCATGTTCATGGCTTCCTGTACCGCTTGGGACTTACCCTACACAGTTCTGACCATGTTCATGAAGGCTCACGATGACTGGGAGCAAGTGTGCGGCCGTGCGACAATCTGACCACCCCCAGACGCATGCGGCGGCCCGAACGTGCTAAGTTCCCAGACGCCAATGGACTTGGTACACACCGCCGCCAGTGGCCGTCGGGCCCCAGAAGAGGTACGAGACGATCTAGCGGATGAGATTGTAAGCCCACGCGAATATGTCAAGCATACATGTTCCCGACGTACCTATCAAGCCAGGGGACAGATTGCGCATGCCGCAAGTGTCTCGCGCGCGGCAGGGCGCGTCGGCACGGGGCGACATGGCGTGTGCGACGCGAGGACTAGCCAGCCGGGTACATCGCTCCGCGGCAGAGCACTTTCCAGGCGACGAGCTCCGCAAGGGCGCAGGGCGTTCGGTCGCGCCGTCACCGCGAAGAGGCAGGCGGAACCGGAGGATCGGTGTGGCAGGCAGAGAGTCAGTCCAGAGTTCAGGTAAGCGCCGGCGCTGTCAGCTGTCGAGACGAGAAATCTGACCCGCAGTCCGCAGATCGAGAATGCGAGAACGAGCTTGGCGGGCGCGGGCAGAGACGACGGACGAGTTCAGGGGGACAGCACACCGCAGCAGCGATTCTGGCGCGTTTTGCGACAGTGCTCGGCGAGCATCCGGCGAACGGAACCAAGTCCAGGTGAGTCTCACAGCCTGCAGCGCAGACTTCTAAGGTGTCGTCCGCAGGCACAGAGTACAAGCTCGCTCGACGGTGGAATGGACTCGCAGAGAGTACGTCAGAGGCCTGCTAGCTGGAACAACACAGAGGGATGGAGTCGCAGGGGCACGCAGAAAACGACGAGTTCAGCAAGAGTGCGCGCGACGGCCTGAAGACGCCAGAGTCGCAGCGGCAGACGGGCGCCCTGTCGATCTGTCCTCCGGGGACACTTGAGAGTCCGCGCGCAGACGAAACCAAGGCCAGGTGAGTCTTATAGCCTCCCAGACGAGACTTGACGTCGTTCGCAGGCCCAGAGCACGAGAGTGAGTACAGCGAGAACGAGCGGGTTCGGGGCGGGATGGTGGCGGTGTGGAGGCAAGGCGTGGGCGCCTATTCCGCGAGGGCGGATTTCTACCAAGTACCAGTGTGCGCGGAGGGCGTTTTGGGGATTGTATCGTGCGCGCGGGGCACGTCCTTGTCATAATATATCTTATACATACTGTCTGCATACTCTGCGCACGATGCGGACTCTGCGAGCTCGAACTGCCCGACCTGCTCCTCCTGCCCTCCGACCGACTCTCCACCCTCCGCCACCCCCCGGCCCCTGCTCTCAACTAGTCCCCACCCCAGACACAGAGTCCGTGAATCTCTCCATGGCCGTCGACCTCGCATATGCCCTCCCCACGTGCTAGCCAAGGCCACCGCCGAGTCTGAGTCCACACCACCGCCCCCACCGCCACCGCACCGTTCGTCCGCAAGAAATATATTCGCAGCTACGTTGAACACCATGACGCACACAAACATCCGACGCACTCCTTCCTCCACGCACGATGCCCTCGAGCGAGTCGGCCGTCCCGCCCAGCCCGTACCCCATCACGTCGCGGTCGTTCGTCACCGGCGGGAACGTCACGAACCGCAGCCGCTTGTCCTCGTTGTCCACCTCTGGCGGGAACGCGAACTCGATCCACACCGCATGCCCGAAGTCGACCGCCATGAGCGGCCGCGGCCGGTCCGCGCCCCCATCCGGGTCCATGTCGTCGTCCTCGACGCCGTCGAGCACGCACACGACCTCGAACGGCTCGCTCACGTACCACAGGCGCATCATGGATGACTCTGCCCCGCGCTGCTTTGTAGGCGAGTCCGTCGTCCCCGTCCCACTCCACTCGCCGGTCTCGGACGAAGATGTGCTGGCGCTGCGGCTTGACCCCTCGCCCTTGCTGACGTCGACGCTGCCAGCTTTCACGGTGGGAACGGCAGAGCCGTTTTCCGAGGGGGCAGCGGATCCGTTCATAAGGGCAGCCTCGACAGCTTGCGCGGCTGTGGCGGACATCTGCTCGAGCTCGTCCGCCTCGATGAGCGGAACCTTGAAGTAGTGCTGCGCAAGCACGTAGCGCGTCCGGTGCGTGTCGGGCTCGTGGTCTGCAAGAAGCACGACCGTGCAGCTGAGCCGCGGGACGGACGCGAGTGTCGGCCACCACTGCCGCACAAAGTGTGCGCTCTCGGGGTACCAGGGTGGATATGGGAATGGGTTCCCGTCCGCGACGGTGCCGGAGCCCGTGTCGTCCTCTCCGTCTGCATTGCCGTCCGCATTGTCCTCTCCGTCCTCGTGTGCAGGTGGGTGCGCATCCTCGTCGACCCCGTTTGTCTCCGTAGGTGCGTCCACGACGGCGTGGCCGTTGAGTTGTGGTCCCTGTTCCTCGTCCCGAGCGCTTGCAGGTGAAACTGACCGGGTCAGAGGAGGGAAGATGAACGGCGCTGACATCGTCGTCACCGGCCGCAACCGTTGGGAGATGTTGGCGACGAAGGTAGCGGACGAGGTCGACAGCCGCGCGTACTGCTGAAGCACTGAGATCGGGTAGAAGTACTGGTGTGCGGCGTCGCTCTCTTCGGAGTGTATCACGATTTGCTCTTGGTATAGGATGCATGACCAGTTCGAGGACATAGACTAAGTATTGAAGTGGGTCAGTATGTATTACAAGAGATGAAAATTATGACGCACGCATTCGATCCCCGTGTCGATGAAGACGTACTCCTCTTTCCTCCAGTCGAGCAGAGCGTAGAGGCCGATCGTGTTCGAGCTCGCGACCCACACGAATGCAGAGAGCAGACATGATGAGGGATCGAGCAGGAAGACGTTCATGACCACACCAATCGTCTTGAACATCGCGAGCTCAGAGAAAATCGGCTCGCCCTTGTCAGGAAACTCGAGCTTCATGAGTACAAACTCCATCACTCGGTCGTCCAATCTAACACTACGCTCAGCCTGGCTCTACACACGCAGATAGAGTCACTCACGACCGCTGCAAAATCTTGGCCATCGTAAAGAACACCGTCCGAATATCAAATTCGACACGGCACTTCCAGAGCTCCCAGCGCTCCTGTGGGTCCCATTCTGCAAGGCATTCGTCTCGGTGGACATCCCAGCACACTACTTTCCTGCTTTTTGTTGCGCACAGGCTGTAGCTCGAGGTGATTGGGGACAACCAGGCAACCTCCTCGTTCGGCGGTGCGCTGATGATCTTGTACCAACTCCGGTTTCCTGTCGTGGAACCCTCGGCAGTGTTGAAGTACGGCGACGATGACGAGGGGCGCGGGCCGCGGGTGAGCCATGCGGTCTCTAATCGGGTTTCATGATTGACGGCGTCGACGAGCTGCTCGTCTGTAAGGTCCGATAGGCGTTGGAAGCCATGGAGCGGGAGCGCGCGACAGCGCTTGAGGAGCGCTGTCGCAAGGTTTCGGTACACCGGTCGCGTGGTGGTGAAGCCGTGCAGCGCTTTGCAGCTCTAACGAGGCCAATTGAGGTGAGCTTGCATTCTAACCATTCCGGTGTGTCTGAGAGTGGGAGGGGAGGGGCAGGTCTCGCAGTTACGGCTCTCGCGCGTAAAGCAGGGACGAATAAACATCTTCGCCCGATCTCGACTGTGCGCACAATTGCGACGTCCTTGATCGCTTTGGCCACGGACACGCATAGCAAGGGAACAGAGACATAAATAGGGAGCCAGAGGGGCGTTTGCCAGTGCTGGGGCATGGCTGCCCATGCTCCCTAGACAAATCGCAGCGGACAACGAGGGTCGTCAAACGGAAAGACTCACGAGCTGGAGTGCATGTATCTCATGCAGTTCTAAATGCCGTGCAATGTTCAGGAGCAGGTCGTAGGGTAGGGTGGCGAGCGAGATCATGTCCGGAGAGGTGTCGTCCTGTTTGGCGCGGTTCGCAGACATGCCCGGGCTGACCACGGTGTCCTGACGGATTTATGTCCTGATGGATCGCAGGGTCCAGAGAGCGTTATCAGCAAGAAAACAAAGCGAGACAAGAAGGCACGGTAGGATGTTGGAGAGACCCTTGTCCTCGTCGCGGGTCGAGCTGGGTCAAGGACAAGATGCGCTCGGACCGTGATTGGTCCGAAGTACCTTCGGCACGCGCCGAGCTTCCCAGAATAAGACAAATACTGTCGCAGATGTCCAGATATTACAAGCAAACCCCTGCTGTTGAGGGTGGCGGAGCCTCACGAGGAGGGAGTACGAGGATGAGGAGGATGAGGGAGCCAGGACGAATATCGGGACGACACCTAAGTCTCGAATTCCGTTTATGGCAGGTCGTTCCCACGCCTAATAACCACCCCGAAACCCTCTCGCTGAACGACCTCGCGCTGCTCTCCTGCCCTTGTGCCCGCCCGCGCCTCCGTCCGCCCGCCCTCGTCCGCCGCTCTGCCCGCGGACAATCTTGCATGGCCGACGTTTGCTGCACTTACCCGCCCTGTGCGCTGCGACGCCTCCCGGCTCGCAGTGAGCTCCGCGTTCGCGCTCTCTTTTGGCACGGTGTACCCGCAGTTGACGAGCTGCGCCCCTCGAATACGTCTAGAAGTAGTCTACTATACCTATATGGCCTGTAGTTCACAGCTCGAATGAGTACAGCACCGGGTTGGCCTTACTCACCGCCTTCTTCCTTCCGCTCTCAGACGACACCGCGCGCCCGTATTCACAATGCCCCGCCCAGGACACTCGGAATTCGACGACTGAGCTCTCTGTGAACACGCTCGCGAGATCGCGAAGCCGCCACCAACGTACTTCGCGCGCTATGGCGTCTCGGCTCTTCGCGCCTCCGCTATCCCTCTTCACCTCGCTCTCTCGCTCGTACACATGGCAGCTGCACAAACTCGGTATGACTCGATAGCTACGACGTCCCCCGCCGTTCGAGTGAGCTTACAGCGTGTTCCTGCGCGAAATGCACTCACACCGATCGTTTCAGAGCCTCTTTGCCCTCTGTTTCGCCCACAGCGACGCCGTATCCCTCGATTCGCACTCTGTTTACGATGGAGAAGTGTGGGCCTGGGCCGTCTCTACACGCCTGCGAGAGTCCGCGCCGCGCCGCGACGGACTCGTTTCGAGGTCGCCCTCGGTGTACTCGGTTCGCTCGCACCCACCTGGCTCCCGTAAATCTCGACGCCCGCGCTCCTGCCATTCTGTGGACGCCCGTCGGACCCGGAGCAACGTGCCTGCTTCTCCGCTAAGCCGCCGTCGACGTCCTTCGTGTGCCATCCCCGGAGAGCTCTGGCGCTCTCCTTCGCCCCTCAATCCTCTCTGGCGCCATCCCTCTGTCGCCGATGCTCGTCCAGTGTACACGACGCTGTACAGGCAATGCTCTTCGCTACTCCTGTGCGTTTGCAGCCTCTCCCGATCCGATTTGCGCTGACAGTGTCCCATTCACAGGTCGCCCGCCCTTCAAATCACAAACACCCACGCCTGTTCGCATTGTGAACAGTGCCTAAAGCGTACTAAAACGGCGCATACACCGTCGTCGCAGGCCCACGATGTCGTTTGCGGTGCAGAGCAAAACTGCGGCCGTGACGTCGTCAACAGCGGGCGCCCGCGCTCACCCTCAACATCCACGGCCACCACCCGCAAACCTGCACGCCCCCATCTCACGACTTCACAGCACGCTTGGAGTATCCAGAGGATGTCCCCTCTGCATGCTCGAAGCCGCCGCCGCCGTCCTCCGTGCCCCATCCGTGCATCACTCCTGCGACCCCGCCAGCGCCCTCCGCTGTCTCCTCCACCACCCCGCTCAACGCAGCGCGCGCGAACTGCCCATGACGGCGTCAATACGACTCTATCCTCCATCCACGTGTGTGCGCAGACTGCCTAGACGCGAACTCTGCTGACAACGTCCCATTTACAGCCCCTCCGCGCACGAAATCGCGCATATCCGCGCCCCACCGCGCGGTGCACCCTGCCTGCATCGCGTAAAACGCGCGCATACACGGCCACAACGTGCCCACGACGCCGTTTGCGGGGCAGCGCGGAACTGCGGCGTCGGCGTCGGCGGCGGCGCGCGCGAGCCCGTGCACGCAACATTGCGGTCTACCACCCGAGCACCTCGATGCCCCCACTCGGGGAGCTGGATATATGCTTGTTGTATGCGCCTCGACAGATTGTGAGACGCGCGAAGCTGCCGCACGCGTCCTGCGCGAGGGACGATCCTCGGTTCGCTGGCAGTCCCAAACCGGCCCCGCCCCTCTCTGGCGTCCCGACGCCTTCGTTTACGGCTACCAGCTGTATGCTACTCGATGTATAGTATATCCCCGCCGTGCGGTGTACGTTTTCCGCTGATTCTGCTGTAAATTGCGCTGACAAGGTCGCATTTTCAGATAACCCCCATACAAGAATATTCACGACCGACTTCAATCTCGAGACAACGACTGCAAAACACCCTCAGGAGCATCAAGGGATCTCCCCACACTGTCCGCAACGCTTCGCAGAGCGCACAACCACCACATACAAGAACAGCCCGCCTTGAGCCTTGGCACCCACGGCCTCGTCCGCGCCCATCGCGCCCACAGCCACGCTGCGCCCCCCAACCGCTCCCCAAACGTCGGCCCCGCTCCCAAGACACACATCTCCCAAGCTTGCGCGCCCTGCACACATCGCGCGCCCCCCACCCGGCGGGCACCCCGGCCGCCCCGGCCGCCCCGCCCGGCCTCCCGCGCGCGCAAATCGCGCCCTCCGGCTCCCTGCCGACGACGACGGCCCCCGCTGACCGGGACACACACGCACACGCGGTCTCGCGGCGATCGGCGCAGAAAATATATTGGCGTTCTCGGGCGATTTCTTTACATCGCGCCCGACGAGGGGCGTAAAGTCCGCGCCCCGGCCGCCCCTCCCGTCCGCTGGCCGCGATACTCGGCAGGGATGTGCCTGGGGACGGTCTGCGTCGTGTGCCGGCGCGTGCGGGCGCGTGCGGGCGCGCACGGCGGGTACCAATTTCGCACTTTTGGCGGAGGGGGAGGAGGCGGCGCGGGGATGGGCGGGTCTCGACGCCGCTCCGTCGGCCTGGCGAGCGCCATCTGTCGAGACGGGTCTCTGTGGACTCCAGCCGCGACGAACAGCACGCGAAGACGCCGCCTACGCACTCAGGACGCCCTCGACGAGGTCCGCGATCGTCTCGCCCTCGCCGACCGCTCCCCCGGCCGCTGCACCTCTCGAGCGCCGGCATCGCATCCAGACCGCGTGCAACCACGACGGCGGGCTCCCGTGCACCGGGGTGCATGTCCCCTGCGAGTTGCGGGGCTGTACGGCGAGAAAAAGATCGGTCAGTTCGGGACGATTTCATGGGCAGCAACGGACGAAAGGAGAAAATGGTGCGTACCGGGCTGGTAACACATCCTCCCGTGCTCGATCTTGGCATAACGAGTCCTGGGCATGTCTCACGTCGTGCTGCGTCGCGTCGGAACACGTAGGACGCGCTGGAGAATTGGACAGCGGGCAGGGCGGGAGCGGTCAGGGCACCGCACCAAGACGATGGGGACGTCGCTGGAGGACTTGAGTGCAGAGCTGGCGCGACGGTGATGCGAGGTACGTGGCCGTCGTGTCGTACGCAGGGCCATCTCCATCCTGATGTCTCCAGCTCTGCTAGCGAAGGGGCCCACGCGCCGACGCATTCTGCGCCCATCAGACTTGGTTTCTGCACGCCCTGGACGCCCTGGCCGTAGGCGTTGAGGCGCAGAGCCTTGGCGCTTCGCGACGCGCACGCGTACGAGTGCATTTGCGGCCGTGAAAGGCGGCAGGTGGCCCAGCTCACGACATCCGAAACATGCGGCAGATCCTCCGCGTTCTGAGGAGGTTGGGTCGTGAAGAGAAGGGATCCGCATCGACGTAAGTTTCCGCCAATTCTCGTGGCGAGCGGATGCAGACTTACATGTTGTGGATGTGTGCAGCTTCACAAGGGCGTCCAGGCACCATCGAGGCGGGATTACGAGCGCTGCAGGAGGAGACGTGAGCACGAGGTGGGGGCGGGACATGGGAAATGGACCTGTTTGGTGTCAACGAGGTACGCTGCTCGCTTGTATCGCTGCGGCCGCACGAGTCTCAACCAGCTTCCCATCCACGGAGACTGGCCTTCTCGAGCGCTCTGTCCGCGTAGAGGAAGCCTTAGATACACGGCTCGGGGCGCCGGTGTGCCTTGTGCCACCGCGTTCTTGACGTCCGAGGATGGGTGCGTGCGCGGGAGCGCTCCGCAGCATCGTGAGATCTGCGAAATCAATGTGAGTTCGGAGTCACGGGAACCAGCACAAACTTACGAATTTCTTGCAGATTCCCGAGGGCGAACCTTGTCTGACGAGGTCAACACACCAGCGCTGGCAGAAGGGCGATGAGCACGAGTTGATGCGAAGATAATCAAGACTCTACCTCGGTCATATCGACGCGTACGTCTCGTACGCCTGGCCGCTGTTGCACGAGCTGAGTCCCGGATACAGTCGCCCTCTCCCGCGAGCATGAAGTGGCCGTCTCCGTGCGGCCTTTCCACTTCTGCGACATGGGCACGGACGGGCCTTCACGGCGACATTCAGCCGCGAGAGACAGCGTATTGCAGACGCTACAGAATGGGTTATGAACACGAGTCGAAGCGGGACGTGGGCTGCTGACTTGCCTGGTGTCGACGAGGTACGTCACCTCGCGTCTCCGCCGCCGCACGAGTCTGACTCATGTTGTGTTCTCGTCAATTCGTCGTCTCTGAGGGCTTGTCCACCGCGTGCCGGAGCAGGCTTCTATCCGCGACTCAGAGTGCCAGTGCTCGCTGCGATCTTGCTGCGTGGGAGCTTTGTGCGCGCGTGGAAGGGCGAAATTTGGTCTCCTGGGGCGCGTCCGCGAGTCCGGTGTCCGCCGGGCAAAGGACGTCCATGTGCCGATCTGGGAGCTTGCGGTGAGTTTGTATTTGCACCTGCTCGCAAGCATGGCATGGGCCCAGACTTACCTATGTCTACCAGATGAATCTCGCAGGTGGACGCTGTTTATCGAGGTCAGGAGGCAGGCGCTGGCAAGAGACGGTGAATGCGAGTCGAAGACGGATAGATCGCGAGCTTACCTGCATAGTATCGACGGGTACGTCTCGTTCGCATGGCCACTAGCGCGCAATCTGACTCCCGGATACTCCTGCCAGCATCGAGGATCGTTTCGCACGCTCTGCTCGCGCCCTGAGCCGGCTCGGGCGGCATCCTCTGCGATGTCGAGTCGCCATCCCCGCAATCTGGGCACGATGGGATGGCCACGTTGTACGCTCCCGCCCTCGTTGTCCCATCACGGCTCTCGCGACGCGAGTACGGCGCTGTGGGGCCATGTCCCAGGCCGTCGAAACCGACTCGGAAGTGCCCCAGGGGCTCTATGTCGATATCTGAGCGTGCAAGGCGTCGGAGGACGTCTATCCAGAGGTTCAGAACAGCGATACCCCTCTCCGGAGACTGGGAATGAATGCGAACCTACCTTCTCGCATGCACAAAGTGCGACGGGCGTGACCACGCGGCATTTGAGCGAGGAGGAGTGGTGTTCACGGGTACGTACGCCTTGCTATATGAGCGCCGCGGCGCGGTCTGACGCTTTCATCAGTCTCCAGCACATCTCGCGCGCCGAGATGACTCGCGAGGCTGCTCCCACCTTCCGCAAGCGATATAGACGCAGTGCCCACATGTCTACGAGTCCTGGGCGCGGCGCGAGTACGTTCGCGTGCACTCTGCTGGCGTTATACGCTGTCTAATGACGGATTCCGGGGCTGCGGAGACAGAGTCCATGTCGGGTGTCGTGCACGAGCTGTATCACGTTCCCGTGAGTGTATACGCGCGAGGCCGTTCCTGAATGAGCACACGAGATCAGCACAGGTTCTGGGGTATGTAGACTAGTTACCTGTAGGCCGCGAGCTGCGAGCTGCGAGGGACAGCGCGAGGTTGCTCGCCGGAGGGTTCTACTGGAGACCGGAGTGCGAGAGGCGGACTAGAGGGAGGGAGAGGCCTTGTGAGTACATTCGCGGAGTTGCTTGCTGCGGATGGCTGATGTGGACGAGGATCCACAAGATCAAGCAAGTGGTGTCGGGTAGATAAGCAGGAGTGGCGATGAGAGCAGGGGACGGGCAAAGGAGGCGGGCATGGCGAGCAAGAAGAGAAAAAGCGGTGTCGATTAGTAGAGCAGAGCCTTAGAAAACGCGCCAGCAGTGACTGCGAGCTGTCGAAGAGAGTGCGAGAGTGGAGCAAAGCAGAGCGAGCCGTCTGCGAAGCCCTGACGCGCGCCTATCGTGCCCCACGTGACACTAGATCGTGCTCTAGCGGCCCTCGCTCACGTCCGCCTGCTCCTCCCCTAAAGTCCGTCAATCCGTCGACGGGCAATTGATGCATGTGAGCCCTGCGTTCCTTCGACTGCTCGCTTGCGTTCTGACCTGACTCCCAGGAGGCTCGTTAGGGACGGCATGTACGTGCTCGTACCTCGCACTCTGCTCCGGGCGACACACAGCAGCCCTCGGTTGTCCCAGTCTGCTGCTAGGAGCTTCTATCGACATCCTTGGCGATTCCATGGCCGATTCTGGGCTCGTTTTTGCTCTCTACCTTGCCCATCTTGTTCGCCCTTCGACAGGGATTCAATCTAGGGACTCTTGGCCGTCTGCGAGCATCCCAACGCCGTCTTGCGCACTGTGGACCGCTCAGCTACCAGGCAAACACCTAGGCGACACACAGCGACTCTCGGCACACCATGAAACATCTCTCTACGCTGGGGAGCGTCGTAATCTTGCTCAAGACGACTCCCTTCAAAGGAGACTCCCCTCAGCCGCCCTCATGCGCAATTCCAGCCCTGTATCGCGCTCTGTACTCCTGGAACTCCCTCAGACTGCTTTTGCGACTCTCAGCGACCTCCATCGTCCAGACGACACCGCCTAGGACGTTCCTGCAGCCCTCGCTGGCCCAGTGGTGCTCCTCGGCCCTCACCTCATCGCTCACCACCCCCACACCCCCCAGGCTACTCACCCTCGCCCTGGACGTTTCAAGCTCGCTATAGACACCCTCAAAGCGCGGGAAATCGCGCCATCTCCCCGCCGACTCCCTCACCCCCATAGGCGCCCAACCGCCGCCCTCTTGGACAGCTCCTCCACGGGTGCGTTTGCGGCCGAGCCACTAATATAACATGCGATGCTGACCTCCATGGAAGTCCAGAAATGCGGTTCTCAGGCCCGGACACGCATGCCCGTCGCGCGGGACGCGGTGATGTGGCCCCGGGAAGCCCAACGGGCTTTCCGAACCTCTGTGAAATCGCCACAGATCGAGAGAGGGCGGCTGGCTCTCTCAAGACACGAAGGAATCGTGTCGATTGATGCAGCGGTTCGCAAACGTGCAACGTACACGGGCGCCTAGACGGCGACCTCCCTTGACTTGCCTCCTCCCGCCCTCCACCCCCGCCAAACACCGCGATTCCGGCGCGTATGGATACTACGGGCTGTTGACAGGTGAGGTGCGATATTACGCCCATTACACACTGTACTTACCTGCCCTGGGGCCGTCTGGACACCCAGCACACCCCACCCGGGCTAGATCTCCTCAGATCTGCCACCGTTCTGCCAGAATCCTGTCGACGCCCTGCATTAAAGTACATCAGCAAGCTTATCGACGGATATCGATGGGCTGACGTACCAGGTACGAGGTGTCCGCGCTGAGGGAGCCGTTCGAGTGCCCGCAAGCTCGCCTTGCCGCGAACACCGCGGAAACGGTGTTCTACTACGCCTGTCTACTATGTACGACTATGGTACGTCTCCGCCGCCCTCCTGCTCTCTCCCACCTCATAACCACCCTTGTATGTGCCGTCAAGACTGGCCGGGGCTTCGTCAACCTCACGGCGTGAGCCTGTCAATCCCGTGAGTCAGCAGGGCACTCTCGACGCGAGACAACTGACACTCACTGTGCTTGTGCACCTCCACAGGCGTCTAGATGCAGTATGCAGCTGCCTGGAAGCACGGACTCGTCAGCGGTGGCCCGTACCCGACGAGGACCAAATCAGCGCATACCTCGCGCCGAGCATCGTGTACTCCGCGATCCTGACCGTTTCGCATTTGCAGGGTTTCGTTGGACGTGCACGAGCGGCGCGTGCACGGATTCACCACAGCCGCAGGCGTCGCGACGCTGCACGCGGCCGGCTGCAAGTGCGAACCCGTCAGCAGGAGCCCATACGTGGGAGGACGAAATGGGTGTGGGTTAGAGGCATCTCTACGCGGTATACGACACACTGCGCATGCGAAAGCATCAGTGGCGGGATCTACGTGACGCGGACTGTCCCGGTACGTACCTTGCTTTGAAATCTGTGTCCTTGCACATCCTCATGGCCCTGTAGATGTACAAGCTTGTTAGCGGTGCACAGGGATGGCATTATGCAGGCTTACAGACCACCCCACCTTAATAAAGACCTCCCCTTGACGCAGAGTTTAAAGATCTTGTTGCGGCGTGAAATGCAGAGCGCGTGTGCAGAGACCTGAGAGAGAGTGGCAGAGCAAAGCAGAGAGTACAACAGAGAGAGCAGGAACAAGGACGAGGACCGGCAGCTGCCCGGTCTTCTCGGCCTCAATACCGGCCCGAGCACGTGGCTGTGCTCTGTCGGCATTCGCCGAGGTCCATGCTGGCATGCCACCTCAGCATCTTGTCGTCGCCCTTGTTTCTGCTCCACTACACATCCACAGCTCACAATTCAGTAGGTCTTCTGCTTTATAATGATTCCCTCATCATTGAAGTGCTTTTACAGGCATGATGGCCAATTTACAGGATAAACAGACCATCTATGAATATCCTGAGTTCCAGCAGTTTGTCGATGCTATCCTAGCAAATCAACCTTGGAGAAAAGACGATAACGAGGACGAGCTGATGCGGTGGCTGCTGGGTATGAAGATGACAATAGTAAGCCAGCTGATCTTGTTGATCTGTTGTTTGCTAACTACTGTGGTAGTACTCGGGCACCCATGTGTGCGATGCCGACTGTGTTTGCGACACACAGTTCAACATGTTCTTTCAACACATGGAGGACATATCCATGTTAGATGGCATCGCAGGGAAGTTCATCCTCGAATACACCATGGTCACCCGTCAGCGCAAGATTGTCGCCTTCAAGAATGCTGTCGCCCACTGCAAGGTGGCGCTCAAAGTCGAAACAGACCGCACCATAGCATCCTTCAAAATTGGGATGGGTGAAAGGGATAACGCACTGGTGAACTGCATTGCCGCCCACAAACACAGTGTCCAGGATGTGGCTGCAGCTGGTATCAAGCTCGGGAGAGCTGAGCAGTCGCTGCACGATGCAGAAAGCGAATGTGAGTGCCTGCGATACACTGAGTGCTGTACATGGGCTGATGTTCCATAGATTCACGCCTTATGAAGTTGCAGTCATTCCGCCCCTGGGCAGGCCAAGTCCGCGCCGCTGAATGGGGCGCAAAGATCGCAGCGATAGGCAAGCCGTGGGTGGAGATTCCTGTGGGGAAGTAGAGTGGGAGATGATGTGTCGGGTTTGCTTGGTTGTTTGGTTTGGTTTCACAATGGCAAAACGGCATTGCTTCACCTCAATGTGTGCATATGGAGTATGAGGCTTGTTACCCCGTGTGAGAAGGAAACGCGTGCATGGCGCACTGGACACAGACGTGCAGACCATACCACGGCGTGCGTTGGCCCGTTTTCCACCTCGCTGCGTGGCCTGCGGGACGTGGACGCTCGAACTGCACCAGGGCGTGCGGCGGCCCGTTTTCTGCCTCGCTGCATGGCGGAGACACTCGAACTGCGCCAGGGTGTGCGTCGGCCCGTCTTCTGCCTCGCTGCATGGCGGGGACACTCGAACTGCGCCAGGGCGTGCGCC